TTCGGGTTTTCGGGTTCAGGGTTTAGGTTTAGGAGTTTTAGGGGTTAGGGTGTAGGGCGTAGGTTTAGGCTTTAGAGTCTAAGGTTTTTTAGAGTTTAGGTCCAGTTTAGGTTAATTTAAAAAGTGTATTGACTCCCTTTCTCCGGCTGCCAGAGTCGAGCGCTTGCCTTGTCCGGGCTTACACTAGGTTTTAGGTTTAGGGCTTAGGGCTTTCGGGGCTCAGGGCTTTTAGGGCTTAGGGCTCTTAGGGCGTAGGGCTTAAGGCGTTTAGGGTTTAGGGCTTAGGGTTTAGGGTTGTGGTCTAGGGTAGGTTCTCTTGGTTCTCGAAGGAGCTTGGGACCCACACTGCTCCTCCGCCACCTTCAGCACCGGTTCCGTGTCGGTGACCTCCAGCACTGCGATGCCCACCTCATCAGTCTGAGATAAGCTTTGGGGTTCAGGGATTGGGGGATTATGTGCCGGATGTCGGATTTAAGGGCTAATGTCGTACCTCGGATCTTGCGCCAAGAGCTTTGGAGCTGTTTGCAATATCTAGCATGGCCTTTGCAGGCTTAAGGTTTGCTTCTTACAGCAGCTTCACGGTACAAGGTTGATGCATTACTTTTTGTTAAAGCTCGGCGTTCGGACATTAACTGGGGGCGTGTCGGTCGGATTCACGATAACCGTGATGTGGCGACAAAGACTGAAGCCAACCTTGACGATGACCTCGGATCATATAAACTCTGCTTGATGGCTATGGTCCGGTGTAGCTTCGCTTTTTGACTACAGTGGGCAAGGGCCGACAATGCCCCGATGCTACTGCTGGCTGTTGCTACCGGCACCAGCATCAGCACCACCAGTATGATGGTAACGATTTGTGGCATGCTGAACTTGTGCCAATACGGCTACTGGTGGTAACAGTTCGAGTACTCATACTACATGCTTAAGCTATGAAATACTTTTTTCCACAAGAAACCACAGTTGATTCATTATGATTGCCATGGTTGGCTTGGCTGCACCCGAAACCCTTAAACCCCACACCCCAACGTGGGCTTAGGGTATAGAGTTGTGTCGTGCAGCACAAGCATCGCTGCACTCTTCCTAGTCGTAGGCCTACTCCTCGGCTTATGGGTTTTGGTAGGTTTAGGGCCGCCTGCCGAAACAGAAGTTAATGCGAAGACTCGACAAGGCCCTTAAAAAAAGTCCCTAAACCCTAAACCCTAAAGCCCCTGAGGAAGGCGGAAGCCCAGTGATGCCTTCCAGCCTTTGGCAGTGAAGTCTTTCTGATCGCCTGCACTGCTGGCTTCGAAACGGCTTAGTCACTGATGCAGGGTTTCGCGGCTAGCGACAAGGGTACCAAATCACGCCTTGCCTTGAAAACTCACACATTCGATCCTAGGTTTCTGTGGGGCTTCACCACTGTTGATGAGATGAAATCTCTGACTCGGACCCTCCACACAACCGCGATGGAAGAGCGACTGGGCTGAGCCTTAGAGCTCAACACACTCGTATGTGGCACCTTGTTCCTCCTATTTGTGTTGTGTGCTGGCATGTAGCTGCTGGCTGCTGCGCGCTTGGCCTAGCTCACATCTTCTCTTGAACAACGGGTAAGCACAGGTGTGTGGTTGTTGCTGCTTTTTTGGGTCCGGGGGCAGGGGTTGGAGAAAAGCAATCAAAAGACCTCAAAACTCGCAGAACGCCAAAAAAAACACATTCAACTTCGACTGATCCTAGAGCCCGAACCATCGACTCATACATACTCAACCAGTTCTTGACTCTTTGTACCATGCCTTTATTATATATGCCCTAGACCTTAGGCGCGAATCCTATCAACCCATGTCCGACTCAGTATCGTGTGATTACTAAGCCCGATAAACCCCAAGACCCATTGACTCTTTGTACCATGCCTTTATTATACAAGCCCTAGACCTTAGGCGCATTAATGAGTTTTGGACACCCCAAGTACCCCTCAACACTGAATCCTATCAACCCATGTCCGACTCAGTATCGTGTAATTGCTAAGCCCGATAAACCCCAAGACCCGTTAAACTGATTTTTGACTCCAAGCCCTAAGCCCTAAACCCTTACCTCGGGTCATCTCGTAGGCGCCCAGCCCTGAAATCGTTGCAGGGTTTAGCGCCGTGGGGTGCAAGGCATAGTGCCCAGACCGTGTAGATTAGGTTTTGTGGTTTTGCCGTGAAGCCTCTAGGGTTTAAGGAATTACGGTGTTTAGGGCTGTGGGGTTTCGGGGTTGAGGGTTTAGGAGTTTAGGACTGGAAAGGCTGATAGTGCTGGGCAGTGCTTGAACCCAGGCACGCACTCCCTGTGCGTATGTATGCATGTATGCACGTATGTTGGCATGCATACATGCGTGTACCACGTGAGCGCATGGGCAAATGAATGCCCCATTATTCATGCAAGCATGTGATTCTTCAGATGCAATAACTTGTCTGCTGTTCCTCAGGTACAAGAGTATCGTGCTCCTAAGTTGATGTTGCTTCTTGCACCATGTATACATTCGCAGATGTTCATAATTCTGCGTGTCTGTGTCGAATGCAGAGTGTGAGCTGTGCATTGATGTGCAAATGCGTCACAAATAGATAAGGCGGCAAAAAACACCTAGATGAATGACAACAAACAAGTAAACATGCGAGTCTGCCTGGAGCTTGCTTGCAAGAGCCCTGCAGAGGGACCTTTAATGTCAAAAAGACCCTTTCAATAAATGCCCTCCCCCCCCCAGAACCTAAACCTCAAAAAACGGAACAGTAAGCCTTCAACCCTTTGCGGCCAAGCCCAAGCTCCCAAAATGTGTACAAGGGTTGAGGAGCCCTCACGCCTTCATGATCGGAACAGGGTGTAAATACTCTCTATTTTTCACTTATATGTTACTCATATATAACATAGATGGGTAGCTATGTGTGAATACAAACACCCACATGTGTACATATAGATATATATGTACAGATATTCTGATAATACATAGTCTGCATAGTCAAGTTTGTCTGTATCTGTATATGCAGAGACTGAGGGGAGGATAAGGGAATAGTCTTGCTCATTCTACAACCATTTCTGCGGCTCGGAGCCCACAATCCACTCCGTCTTGGCCCTAAACCTCGGTGTGCTGTCGTTCGCGCTTCCAAGAAGTCCCAAAGAGTGGTGCGTGGGTACTTCGGGATTTGAGCTGTAGGAAGATTTACGATTTCTAGTGTTTCGGATTTCGGGATTGAGGGTTTCGGGTTTCGGAGTTTATAGCGACTGCAAGTCGCCACCACAGCCACAACCGCAGGAACAACAGCAGCAGCAGCAGCAGCGGCAGCAAACAGTGGCAGCAACACAGCACAGAGGCACAGAGGATAAGAAAACACACGAGCAGAATTTACAAACTGAAAAGCAATTACGTAACTAGACATATGCACAGGTACAGCCAGTCATCTCGTGGGTGCACACAAGCTTGCACACAGACGTGCACAGCTCCAAAGAGTGCACCACCAATGAAGCATTATAGTCTTGAGTGAGTGGAAATATTGGCACTGCATGACAACGAAACACAAACAGGCAGTAAAACTGTCGAACAGGGTATCATTGCGACAGCTTGAACTGAGATTGTGACAACAAGGATACGGGTGGGCAATTGCAAAGGTAGAAGTATTGATCAGTATGAAACAAGGGCAGCGCCGGTAGTAGCATTAACGCTTGTGATACAACTCTCGAACTGAAACGGTTCGGGAGTCGGGTCTCTTGCGGGAGATGCTGAGTTTAGGGTTTCGGGTTTTGGGTTTTGGTGTTTAGGGTGTCCTACTTCGTCCCGGGCCATCTCAACTCTTCCCAAAGGCTTCGGCGACTCCGCTCAATGTCGGATCGTGCCGTCAGTGAAGACGGTCTAGGGCTCTAGGGCCTAGGGCTCGGGCTTAGGGTTTGGAGGTCAGGGTTGAAACTGCGGGGCTTTCAACTCAGAGGGTCATGGGATTCAGCTAAGTAGGGGTTCGGGCTCAGGGTTTGGTGGAACACTTCGTGGTTGAACTAGTCCGGCAAAAAACGACGTCTTACCTACATGGTAGGACAAATTGGGAACCCTAAACCCCAAACCCCAAACTAAACCCCAAAACCGTCAAACAGTAAACCATAAACCCAAAGGCCTGAACCCTAGGACGGGGAGCATTTTCCGAGCCAGCTCATCTGGGTCTTCGCACTCCCCGAGGATGCAAAGTACCTTGCAGTCCAACACAGGGTTTCGGGTTGAGGGCCTAGTGTAGATTAAGGATTTAGGAGCCTTCATGATTAGAACGGGGTTTTCGGGTCCGCTATAGTGCGTGTGTCTCCCGGTTTTAGGGTTCAGGGTCTGGGTTTGGGAGGTTTTGCAGGTTGTAGCGTTTTGGGGTCAGGCTTTAGGGTAAGTCGTGGTCATGTCGGCCATTGAGCTAACTACAGCTTGAAGCTTCAGGGTCTTACGCGACTGGCTTTAGGTTTGGAGTCCAGGGTTCTTTTGGACTTGGACTCGGCACTATGGAGTTTCTATACCAAAGGTTCGTAAGGCAAAAGGTCCTACAATTCAGTACGAGGCCGGTCATCATGATGAGTTTGAACAACTCGGTGGGCGGCTTCGGGTTACAGGCTTCGGGGTTGGGACGGTCGAAAAGCTCCTGCAAGATACTTTCTTGAGTGTGTCTCGAATAGAAAGCCCCGAGCCCTTCCGCGTCACTTCCCCTGAGGCCCCAAATCCCACATCCTGTGATGCAAAACCCCTGGCCGGGGATTATGTACGTTCTAGTAAACACATGCTCATCCAGTCAAGCAAGCTAATGCCATAAGTAGAAAAGGGTTCGAGAGAACCTCGGTAATATAGGGGGCCTTAAAAAACAGAATAGGGTTGTGCATACTATACTAAATGTTGCTCCCACTGGGCTTGGGTGAGTTCTGGTCGAAGCTGCCGTCACGATGAAGCGGTCTGCGTTCGTGGTGGTCACGCTCTGTAGGTTCCTCGGGCTTTGGCTTTGAGGATCGGGATTTACGGCTCATTCGAACCCCAAACCCTCAGGCTTTGCGCCTGTACGCCTTGCTGAGTTTAGGGACTGATGTCAAGGGCTTAGGTTAGGAGGCTTCAATTTGGGCGGGTTTTTTCAGGTTGTGGAGTTTAGGTCGGAGGTGAACACTCCGAAACCCGGAAGCCCAAACGACCGAAAGAGTGATCCGCACTAAGCTAGCCTGGACCTTGAATTGAAGAGCAGCAAAACATGACGCTCCGTGTCAACTTCCCCACACACCTAATCCCGAAATCCAACTGAAGCCCTAAACCATGATCGTGGGCGCTTTCTTTTATCGAACAAGCCATGTCTCAGGGTGTCAGAGAGGATTGCCGAGAGCAGAATCCGTGCAATCGGCTTGGGGATCATGCGATTCCCTCCTGAGAGAAGTGGGGTCTGACCAGTCCGGACTGGCTCAGGCTTTGGGTTTTTGGACGTTTAGCGTTGAGGGGTGGCCCTGGCTGTGAGATCCTGGATTCTTTGGGTCCAGTCGGGACTCGGCAATTCCACGGGGTTTGGGCTTCAGGAGGAGACCTGCAGGGGCAACAGACAAGGTGGGCTTCAGGGCCGAAGTCTTTCTGAGCACACACGTCGGCACTGTCCGCACGGAACGTAACATCACCATTCGCGTCGCGGCATCTCGTAGTTAATACAGACTGCAAAGCTGTAGTGGGTTTAGGGTTTAGGGCTTGTAATGTGTCACGCAGCGCTCTACGATGTCAAGCAATGGTCGTTTCCGAAACTACAGGTCCAGAAACCTCTAGTATAGGGACCTAGATAATTACCAATCTGGGGGTTCCTTCCTATAGTTATATTCTAATGTACACCCAAAACCCTATTCCAATTATAAAGGCCCCTACCTTACATGCTTCAGAGGAGCCAGGGCTCCACTCGGCTAATCTAGGGCTCTGGGATTCCACGACCGGCGCTTTCGTGGCTCTAGGACTCAAACTTTAGCTTTGGCTCTTTCGAAGGTCTGGTTTAGGGTTTAGGGGCTTTAGGGTTCAGAGTTCTACCTCTCACTGAGAGGCAAGACTGGCTCTTCGTGAACTCTGCACTTCCTGTTACACTCGAAAACTCTCAGAAGCTCTGAACCCAAACATCCGAAACTGCGGTCAAATGCCAAAACTTGAAAGCCTAAACCCACGGTCCGAGAAGAACCCCACACGCCTCACGCCCCCTGGCTCATCTCTAAACCCGACGTCATGCACCTTAAAACGAGCGTGCCGCAACTCTAAGCCCTAAAGCCCTACAAACTCCTTCAACCAACATCCTCAAAACCCCTATACCCCTACACAGCCCTAAAACCTAATGCCTCTCACAGCATTCTTAAGACCCTGACCCCTGCAACCCAAAAATCCGTCTCCCAGCATCCCCGAGTCCTTCCAGAGGCCTGCAACCCCAAACAGTCGCTGGAGCGATCCCGGAAACCCCGCCTCTGCTTCTCAAGATCCCGTTAAGGTCCCTTCTATGAACAACCTTCATACTAATGGGGAGCTTCAGAAACAACACCACCCGACTCCTCACCCCACGCACAACAAAACATGAAATACTGAAAGTCCCCCAAACAGCCACGGGATCGGACAAAACTAAAGCCCCAAAGGCTAAACCCTAAAAAAAAAATGAGCCAAAGGATCGGATAAAAGAGTGGGCGATGATGCTGCTCATCGAACCCCACGGTCGTACGTCCATGAAGAGAGGCTTCCTGAACACTTCAGGGATTGAGTGGGGCTTGCGGGGAACAGGGCTCGAATAGGGCCGGGCTTTCGGGGAAGCTGGCTTTGGTGCACTTTCGGGCTTTAGGGCTTTTTTGGTTTAGGGTAAGCCTTGAGGGGTGACGAGGGGCTTCCTTAGAGGGGGGCCTCAAGCTGTCGGGTGTAGGTTTGGGATTAAGTGGCTGCAGGGTTTAAGACGAAGCGTGTGGAGATTCGGGTTCGGAGTTTAAAGACTTGGAGATTTCCATCTGAACCCTAAACCCTCACCCCCAAACGCTACTGTAAACCCAAAACCACAAGAGACCGTAGAAGCCGAAGGATCTCACGAGGCTTCTGGAATCACCCGTCTGGGACCCCTTTGACAAAACCCTTAATGCCGTCTCCAAACCCTTTCGAGCCGTTTATGAAACCTTACAAAGCCCTTATGAGGCCAAACAAAGCCCCCACAAATCTTGGAGCCCTTCTAAAGCTCTACAAGTCTACAAGCTCGCGCAAGCCCTCCAAGCAAGCTGCTCTTAAAACACCCAGAAAAAGCCCTCAACAACCATCACAGCCCTACAAAGCCTAGAAAGCCCTGCTAAACGTGCATGAAGGCACTCTCAAAGCCCATAAAGCCCCCTCTTTGGGCCACCATTATGCGGCTCCGGCGTCTCTGAAGCCATGGACTCCGCCAAGGCATGGTGGTCGATGAGGCCAACGATGCGCTTCTTCCGATTCTGAGCCGAACCGAACAGCTCTCTACAAGGGTTTTTGCAAGGGGCCTCCAAAAGGGTTCTACGAAGGTTCTGTGAGGGTTTTGGTGTTTAGGGCGTTTAAGGGCTAGGGTTGAAGTTTCTTCTTAAAGATTCTGAGCCGAAGGGTGGTGATTGTTGAGGCCCTGAGCCCCCTTAGACCGCCCGGGGTAGGATTCAGGGTCAAGGGTTTTCGGGTTTTCGGTTTAGGACTTAGGGAGCTTCAGGGAAGAGCCCAAGATCTGAGCAAAGCAAAGAGGCCGGATCGTCTCGCAGCACAGGGACCATCTGCTTGTCCTGCAAAGGTCTAAGTTGAGGCTTGAGGGCACCGCTGCTCAAGAATCCTCTAGGTGCACTGCATTTGTTGCGTTTGCTGGGCCCATCTGAAAATGAATGTTTGCCGACTATGTGTATGCATCACTATGTACGTGTATCTATATACGTATTTGCACAATATATACATATACTGTCATGATAGACATGCATGACTACATGGTTCCGTGTCCAGCTGCAGAGCCGGCCCCATTAAACTGCTTCAATGGACTGATGGCAGGAACAAACAAGCTGCTTTGGTCGTAGAAGCAGGGCTTAAAGTAACACAAAAAGCAAAATCCAAAAAAAGAAACCCCGAACCCGAAGCGTTAACCTCTAAACCTAAGCCTAAAACCAAAACGGCCCTGTCTATTCCCGCACCGCCTCGTTGTGGTCCACAAGACAGATGGAGAGCATTTCCTGTGTAGCTGGTGTCGGGTCAGGGATTGCTGAAACCCAAAGCCCGAATGCTGGGAAACCCGACTCCCATCATGTACAAGTTCCGTACACCCTTGTTCAAAAGGCTTCCGAAATGGACACCAAACCTAAACGGAAAACCCTGACCAAGAGGATCAATCCGAGGCCACGAATAAAAAGCTGGAAGCCCTCGATGCACCGTGGCGCCCCTTTGTCGTTCGGCTTGACCGCACCGGGGATGTCGTCAAAGTAGGGTGGCATCCTGGGCCGACTCCCTTTGTTCTTGCATGGCTGTGGTGGTGCTGATGATGATGATGACAACGACGACGACGACGACGACGACGACGAGGATGATGATGATGATCCTAAACCCCAAACCAAAAACCCTTAAACCCCCTAAAGCCCTAATGATGATTGCGATGGAAACACAGCAAGGCTCCGCGGAGTTTCAGACAGTAAAGGACCCTGATACGGAGCCCAAGTCCTGAAAACCTTGTAGCCACTCGTTAGTCCTTAGGGTTTAGGGTTTAGGGTTTAGGGGTCGGGAGTTTCCGTGTGCAGAGGCCGCAATGCAGACCCTAGGTATTCAGTTTTACGAACCTCTAGACGAACCTGATACAACTCTAAGCCCTCAACCATTACAAAGCCCCGAAGTTTAAGATATCTTGTGTCCCAGGATGCTGGATTCCTGCCCACTTCAGCGCATACCTCGAGACATCATCAGAATCCGGATTGGGGGTTCAGGGTTCTGAGGCTCGCAGAGTTGAAGGGTTTAAGGGGCCTGTCCAGCCTGATTGAATTCTTAAGCTGCTTCCTGTTTTTCGGGTTTCAAACAGGGATTAGGGTTTAGGGATTTGGGGTTCAAGTGTCGCATTTCAACGATTTCAGTCTTGGGTTACACCAGCTCCTTGTGCAGACTAGGGAACACAGCGGCACACACACACACCCTCGAAGCAAAAGGCAATGGTGGAGCTCAAATGATACCAAACGGCCGCAGCCAGAAAATTTACGTCTGAACTCTACACCTTGGGTCAACAAACAGAAAGCCTACCTGGTGAGAGGAACTAAGCCAAGCACGATGGATGGACCTCAACACCACTTCCTGGCGCCCGACCGTGTAAGGCACTAAGCACGTCCAGCATACACTTTGTCGCTCGTCTGTCGCATTCACAACCCGAAGTTGGGATTTTGGGTTGAGCGCTTCCTCCCCACAACGGGTCCAGGGGCCGGGAGAGGACTGACGAAGAGAAGGCCTTAGGACATCTTTAAAAGCCTCTACTAAACCCGTTAACCCTAACCCCTAAAGACCCAAAGAAAAGCCTGAACCGCTAAAGCCCCGGCGCCCTGAACCCCAAGAGGCTGGCTTCTTGCCAGGAATGCTCCGGCACCCCCCAACCCCCCAACCCGGGATCCTACGCTTCTGTTGCAGGCGCCACGGCTGTTGTCGCTAGTATTGTTTCTATGTACTACCTACGACTGACAATGCACTTCTACTGCTACTGGACGACAACATTGGAGGTGGCGATGACTAGGAGACATCGCAGCGGATCCAAGCTGCATGATCTCACCGTTCAGCTCCTTCTCAGCCCTCGCTGCGGTGCCTGCGCGGCTTTTTCAAGGGTCGAGGCTGTAGAGCCTGCGGCTTTGTGACTTAGGTGAACCGAAGAATCCTATAATCCTTAACACACATAGCGAGCCCCACATGCAACAGCTAAAGCTGCTCGATTTTGCTAAGACCAAAAACCCATGCCCTCAACCCAAAGAAACCCTGTCAAAACCGCTTGTAAACCCACGATAAAACCCTACAACAACGATGCACAACATTAAACCCCTAAACCCCTTAAACATGGATAAAAAATCAACCAAACGAATAGTCCTTCGAGAAACATAGACCTTTAAGCAAAACACAGAAAGTTCTGCCCAAGTTCAAGCGCGTTGCCTCGCCAGAGCGCGGCCGCGCCGAGGGCCCCGGCTACGGAGTCCAGGTCCGTCTTCACGTGGCCCACGAAACTTGGAAGGGCTTTCAGGCTTCAGGGTTGAGGGGTGTGGGGGCATGGGGCTGAGCGCATTAGGAATGTTTCTTTTAAGGTTTCAGGCCTGGTTTAGGCTTGGCGCGCCTAACCAGGGTTTAGCAGCTTAGCATGTAAGGTGCTTTTCTACAGGTGGCTTTAAATTTTAGGGCTTAAGCTTTGCAAAAGGCATCTGGGTTTCACAGAGGGTTCGAAGGTTTTACGAGCTTGGCCGAGCGTGGGAAGGTGCGCTTTGAAAGAGTTGGCCTGGGGTTTGAAGCTCTCAGGCCTCGGGGTTTTAAGGGTTTGGGCTTTCGGTCAATTTAGGGTTTAGGGTTTAGGGAACTAATATTACGGCCTTGCTTCAAGTTCACTGAAAAGTCCAGGAGTCGAGGCAGCTTCCAGGTCTAGGCTTCTTGCAAGGACCTCTAAGTGAGGTAGGCGTACTGGAACCCTTGCAAGACCCGCAAACCGAAAAGAAACATAATCCTATAAAAGCCTCATAACACCCTTGTACAGCTCTTGTAAAATGCCTGTGAACCCTTGTGAAACCCTGAAAACCCTTAAGTTCACGACCCGTATCCGCAAATTGAAAGCAAACCCAAACCCAAAAAATCCGAAACCCCAAACTCCGCTAAAAGCCGTCGTTTGGTCCCTATCTTCGATTCGCCACGGCACAGGCAACCCTGGAGGATCTTCTCGACACCTGATGACCAGGAAAATGTATTGGGGTTCAGGGTATAGGATTTAGGGTTTAGGGCTCAGGGCAGGGATCTGAAGTTATTTGCTATGGCCGTCATTATTGCGGGTTCCTCGGGCCTCAGCAAGAATCTCCGAAACCTTGATTTCGGAGCCTCGATATAACTGGGTGTATGGAGGTTTTCTGGTATATGAACCTTTGAATACCACTACTCATTTGAGCCCTGCTGCAGTTCCGGCTAGATACCAGTCGATGTTCACAATGGGTAAAAGCAATTACGAAGCTACTGGGCTGGGGCCTCAATCCTACACTGTATGCAGTCTATAGCAGCCCCGTCAAATCCTACAGTTCAACAACCTCAGCTGCACCATATGACCTATAAGCCCTAAAGCACCCAAACGCCTCCCCAAACCCGAAACCAAAACCAAAACCCTTCAGCGTTGCCTGTTCCACGCACATCCCTTCGTTGGGCTGTTGCATTGGAATGCTTATGAGACACTGTAAACCTTGTAAAACCCTACCGAACCTGATGTGGCACACCCATCAGATAAAGCCGCCTGCATGCACATACAGCCTTTCCCACTCCCTCCAAACCCCTCCAACCGACACCCTAAACCCCCAAACCCGAAATCCCTGTGGGTTTCCAGGGTCCGTGAACTCGTGAGAACGCTGAGCCACACAGCTGCTCGATGAAGGCTTCTGCGTTGGGGTTCGAGACCTTCTCCTCTCGATTTTTGTGCTTTTGCTGGTGGGCTGTGCTTTTTTGTTGGAGCGGTTTTGTGCTAAGGGCTGCGATGTTGTGTTACGACCTTTTCGGTTTAGGATTCAGGGTACAGGATTACGGGGCTTCAGGTTGAGGCTTAGGGTTTAGGGTCTAGGGTTTAGGAGGGCTAGGGACTTTTCAAATCCCACACAGTCAACCTGAAACCAAGACAAGCCCCTATGAAACTGTCGCATAAAGATCTTAGAAGGCCTCTTTGATGTAAAGCCCTGTGAAACCCCATGGAACCCCTTAAATACGATAGAACCCCATGACACCCCACGAAAACTTTCAGGGACGTCCGGATCGTATAAAACCCTGTGGAAAGCCCATGGCACTCTGAAAATACGGAGCCATGACCCCATGAAACCTCCCACACAGGCACACAAGCACAGCAAACATCAAAAAGCCCCATGAAAGCTCCTGGAACTCCTCTGCCAGGTCTCGCGCCATGGCCTGGTACTCTTCGAGCGCCTCCTGAAGAGACGAGATGTTGTGAAGGGGCTTGTATTTTCTGTCTTAGTACTACTTTATGTGCGTGTGCGTGTGTGTGTGTGTGTGTGTGTGTGTTTGTTTGTTTCTTTCTTGTGTTGTGTAGCCTTTTGACAGGTTGTGGTAAGGTGTCTTACTGGTTTGTTAAAGGCTTTCACGAGGTTTTGCCTACGGTTTTGGGTTTGGAGAGTTTGGAGTTTATGGTTATCGGGTCATGGGCTAGGGAACGTGGGATTTGAGTGGCTGGTTGGAGGCTTAGTGGGTGGGATTTCCGGGTTGTGATCTGGGGATGCTTGACGGCAGGCCTTTTTATTTAAGCTACTTCGGTATGATGAAGTGTCAAAGGCTGGTACCTGGGCTCTTGTAGTGTTCTTCCAAGTGGTATAAGACGAAGGGCGCCCAAGGACCTGTAAGATCTGATCCCCTTGGCTACCGGCCTCCGCGCCTCTGTGGTGAATAAGCCCGTGGTCAACATACTACTTGAAGCATGCAGCCCCGGCCAAGAGCGAGCACTGCCATGCTCGTCAGTGAATCCAAGAAGTTTGAGGGGTTGTACCCAAAGCATCCCTCCAATCCCCTTCTGCCTCACTACTCCCCACAAAGGAATGGCTAGAAGCGGAGCCCTAGATCCGACACCTTAATCCCCAACTGCATATTCCCTAAACCAGAAACCCATATGGCAACCCGTATGGTAACACGTATAGTAAGTCGTAAGAACCCTTCAAGGAACCCGTCCTGGGTCTTGCTCATCTCCATCAAGCAGCCAAACCTGGAACAGCAGGGACTTGGCCCGGACAGCTCCGCAAAAATGTTGGGACATTACCGAAGTGCTTCCGGGTGTCGGGTGGGGTTCCTTGGCTTGAGGATTGAGGGAGGGAGGGAGGGAGGGAGGGAGGGAGGAAGGGAGGGAGGGAGGGAGGGAGGGTAGCAAATCGTAAATCAAAATTTACGCCCCCAAATCCTCAAGAGCCATCTCAGAATCCACTCCAACAAAAACTACAACCTTCCACGCGATGCGCTCAATTAATGCCAGGCTCTAAAGATACGTTTGAAAATCTGGCTCCGAACCTTAACAGTTAAGGTTTTAGAATGCACGGGATTTTGGAGTAGATACTCTGTCAGATTGTTCAGTTCTATTAACTTTTTAGCCATCTAAGCCCCGTCCACAAACAGATCTCCTTGCCGTCCCAGGGGCTTCTCGATGTCCTGCTCCGTGCGCGTGCGGCTCCGCGGGCTGATCGAAGGGCTGCCGGGCTCCTCTTTTGGGCTTTGGGGTTTTGGGGTTTAGGGGTTTAGGGTTCATTCGGGTTTAGGGTTTAGGGGTTTAGGGGTTTTGGGGTTTAGGGTTCATAAGGGATTATATGGCAATGGGGGGGGGCCGGGTCGGAGGGGGGGGTGTTTGCGGTACTGTAGGGCTCTTGGAGAAGGTTTTGAAACAAGTTACTTCTAGCCTGGTACAAGATGGAGTTTTGCAAAGACTTTTAAAAGCTCTAATACGGATTAGGAATTTGGAACTGGGGGCTTGTAGCAGGCCTCAAGCGTTCTAGGGACGAGGGCTTGAGAACTTTAGTATTGTGGTGCCGGACGAGGACTCTAGCATTTCGGGGATTCGAGGGTTCAAGCCTAAACCCTAAACCCTAAACCGTGGCGTGGGTGGCTGGCCAGAGGCTTCACGAATTGAGGGCTTTGGGGCTAGAGTTTGGCGTTTAAGGCTTCGGGATTAGACTTTGGGTTCGTCACGGCTTGT